GATCGCCAGCGATATAAATTGAGATTTTAATTTATTTTAAAAATCAAAACTAATATGTACTATTTTTATATATAATTATATAATTATTTTTTTATCTATAATATTATATATATTAATTCATTTAATTATATATTATAATTTTAATATTATAAAAATTTTATGTACTGAATAAGATATGCTATGATAACTTTTTCTTCCATTTTCATCCCGAGGGATCTAAATGCCGAGTGAGTCCTTGCGGCGTGGCGTAGGGGCTAAGGATACTTGATTTTTAATTTTTGAAAGAAGGAACAAAAATATATATATTTTTTATGATAGTTGCATGATGAGATAGTTTTTTTTTTTTTTTAATCTTATTTTATTTAAATTTGAAATCTTTTACTTTTCATTAAAAAAAAGTTATTATTAAGTTATTTAAGTCATTAATGAAAAAATAATTTCTTAAAATTAAACAAGTTTATTAAATTTGATATAACAAAATTACACATATAATCAAGAATTCCATAAGTGGTGGAATTAGTTGAACTTGCCTCCGACGCCAGCTAAACTGCATAAGAAACTTGGCCCACAAATAACTTAGTTGAGTAGTGCACCACTGTTTTTCAATTAAATTAAGGGTTTGTTTGGTTGTTATAGATTTCAGAAAAATAATTTAGGGAAGTAGGTAAAAATCAAGTTCTGGCTTGATTTAGGAAAGAAAGAATCTAGGATCAAAAGTATATAACCGATTATATAAGATATAATTGACTATATATGTTCAGATTGTGTTTTTTAATAAAATATATGAAAAGAAAACTTTCTTATATAAAGTAATTGATTACTTCAAAAAATAATTCGATCATATAAATATAATTAATTATGTCAAAAAGATAATTGGTTATAACCCTAAAATAATCAATTAAATCACTTTATAATCTTTTTTTTTTTGGTATGAATTTTTATGTCATAAATTACAAAATCCTGGGCCAAGCCTATAATCCTGCAGCTTCCTTTGATTGGATTTTTGGGATCTATGCTAACCAAACAGGTTGAAAGGTTAGTTATGATAATTTTTTAGTCAAGATGTAATTTATCAACATGTTGACCATTTTAAATTTAATGAAAACTTACACTCACCACATTTTTTTCTAGTTAACTTTTCGATATTTGGTAACCAGATTGGATTTCAACCAATCTTTAATTAAACTGTGTTAGATCTTATAATGGGGAAAACTTTTCCAATATTTGTTTCTCTATTCACAAAAATCAAACTTGAGATATTGTTTAAAATAAATAAAAATTATTCCATTCAAACCAACAAATTATTAGTACGCTCACAACATTTACTATATTATATTGTGCACAACATGATATGGTAACCACTGTATTTTATATATATATATATATATATATATATTTTTTGACAAGGTTAATAGTTAGTAGTTAGGTTAGGAATTGTTAGCAACTGTGGATTCAAACCCCAGAACAAGTGATCTTTCACCTCTTATTCAAGCGCGCGGCCCATCGAACCGCATGGTAGAGTTCATATTTTATATAATTGATTCCTTTTATTAATGACTTGATATTGTATGCATTTACTTTGTTATCTTGTTATGTTTTATAAATCATAAAGTTAAAAATGGTGCTCATAAAAGAAGGAAATAGTTCCATCTGGGTCACTTTCGGAAGTCTATGGGCAAAAGGATTATTAGAGATGCACGTCTCCCATTTCATGCAAGACTTTTTGTAGTAGTGAATGGCAACTACTGTTGTTGGCCTCATGTTAGGTCACCACAGTTAGTTGAAATTCAGGCTGCTAGAGGAAGATTTTGTAGGCTGGACACCTTTCACATTTGGTATCTTACTGGCATTGGATTAGAGAAAAACAGGGAAAGTAACCTTCGGTACTCTTGTGCAATACCTAAGTACAATTTCATAAATTTGTTAGCTACCCTTAATAGACTCACAACCAAGGTTAGACAGAAATAGTGGATACAAAATGTTGATGACACTTGCATTTTATGTAAGTGTGACCCAAAAACAAGTTAACATTTATTTTTTAAGTGTGGATACACAAAGTGCATTTGGCGGGAACTTAGCGCTGCATGACAAACATCCTCTTGATAGACTCATGGTAGGATTTATTAGCCTGGCTTGGCAAGAAAGTTCGAAAGGAAGTCTTTAATCAAACTATTTTGAAATGCTGCTGTATATCATTTATGGATAGGGCAAAACAGAAGAATTCATAAGCAGCATTTTAAAACTGAAGCAGCACTGCTTGCAAAAATTCATTTTGAAGTTACATGCAATATTTTGAGTTTTACTCGTTCACACTCATCCCTTTTATCTTCTCTTGTAGAAGTTGTTCTGCTGCTTTGATGTATTGTTAGTCTTTATAAATAAATAAATTCAAATTTTATCCAAAAAAAAAAGGGGAAATAGCTATATATTGAGGTATAAATTTTCGATTTTAGTGATAAAAAAACATTTTTCAAGTCAATTATGTACATAAAAATATAAAATATCTACAAAATTATTTAAATACTCTTAATAAATCCTCTTTTTATACTTTCCTTACATCAATGTTGTTTCACATAATTGATATAAGAGATGGAGAGAAGTGTTGGAGATATCACCATAAAGATGGTGGGAGGAGTAAAGTTCCCTCATGTTAAAACATAGGTTGACAAAATAGTATATAAGTACCGATCTAAAATGGACGAACTATGTTTATGTGCGTAATCAAACTATATTATTTAAAATATGAAAAATAATTAGTATATACTCGATTTAATATATTACACAATATATTTATTAAAAAATTACTATTTTTTATTGAAAATTAAAAATAGATGAATTCAAAAATACAATTATGCACACAATATGCATGAACTAACTGAATCAATTATATTTATATTATATTTTCACTGGTTAAATTGAAAGCGTGCTAGAAAATATGTAAAACTAGGTATATATAAATTATTTTCCTTCAAATATAAGTCAGAAAAATAGCATATATGTTAGATTTTTACCAATCTAAATTCAACTTAGTATGTTTATGTGCACAACCAAACTCTAGTATTATTAAATGTAATACCTTATTAACTTCAAATCTTGTAAAATCAAGCAGTAACTCTCAAGATACAAAAAAAAAATAAAAAAAAATAAAAAATATAAAATATAAAATTGGTAGATTAGTTTAATTTGATTTAAAAATTAATCATTGAAAATTTATATAAATCGAGGTTGTAAATGAATTGAGTGAATTAAGTCGAGTATTGAAATGCTTAAGCTTAAGCATAACTCTACAGTAACAAGTTTGATATGAGCTCAAACTCTATTGACCTTAGAAAAGTATAGTTTTAGCTTGACTCGTACATCAAACAAACGGAGTTTGGAACTTTGGATCAAGTAGCCCTTAAAGATGCCAACTAACATATAATATAAAATAATTAAATTAAATTAAATAATATAATTTTTTAATATTTTAATATAAAAAATACTTATAAATAATTCACGAATCTAACATATAAGTTGGAACTCAAGTTTAATTATTTATCGAACTTAAAATTGAGTTCAACTGGAGACAAGTATAATCAAATGGTAGATAAGTAGCTTACGAGCTACTTTACAATACTAATGTAAATGAATGAGTCTTAACACTTTGTTCGATGATTTAATAGAAATTGTTGATAAGCTTTGGCAATAGTATGATGCAAAACGTTCTACAAAAACA